CAAAGGTTTCAAAGAATCAGATTTACTTGGGAGTAAATTCCAGCTGTATCCATTGTTGACTGTGTGATCTTGGGCAAGTTTCTTGACTTAAATGTGTTTTCCCTTCTATACAATGAAGGTAGCAAGAAGAGAATTACTGTCTAGTGTTCAATCTGGGATAACTGAATGTTCATTGTATATCTTTCTTGATGCCAAAAGGTAGAGTAACACAATTATAATACATGATTAAATGCAATAGTCCAGATACTATTTTTTCCTTCTCAAATAAATATCTGCTATATACCACCTATTTCCCCACCAAAAAAGAAGAAGAAGGAGAAGAAAGTTGTTTTTAAAGCCAGTTCTTCAGGGAAGGAAAAACAAAACAAAACAAAACAAAACTAAGGTCTAATAAAATTTTGTGTAGTTCTTTAAAAAGCAGAAATCTCTATTGCATGAATTAAATGTTATCGATGGCTTGAAATATCTGCCATTGGTCCTCTGACCAAACCTCTGGGTGTTGTCTCAGTCACAGTCCTTGATCAAGAGGATACGTAGTGTGTTTTCACACCAAAGTGCCCTGAAGACTTTCCAAGTGCAAGGCAGTTCCCACTGGGAGTGTCAGGGCAGGAAGTGAAACACAGGCATGAAAGGTAGGGGTCAGGGATGAAAGAAGTAGGAAATGAATATGATGTGTCACATCACAAATTTGAAAGGTCATCAGCAGGAAACAGCAAGGAGCAGTGACTGAGATTTCCTGACCAATGTTACCAAAGGAGAGGAGAACACGTGGCTCACCCAGTCTTGTCATTGTGAGTTGTATTTGCGATGTCTTCTTGGGACTTCCGGAAGTGACTGGGGAAACACTGGGAGATGGCAGAGGTGGCAGACCTGCAAAGCGTAATGGGGGCAGTCCAGAATGACAGATGATCCTATCTCTCTTTTCTCTGACTAGCCATACAAGTAATAAGGGGAAGGGCTTGTCCTATCTTCAATGTTGATACTCCACTCACATCCCCTCTGCTTACAATGAGTTCTGAAGTTGCAACGGGTGACATCTAAACACGCTGCTGGCTTCCCAACTCAAGCTCCCCTCTCCTGCTTCCTTTCTGGGAGTTTTCTCCATTTGAGGGTGGGGAGGGGGGATGGCAGAGGAGTTTGCTCAGCTCACAGGTGGGATGGCCTGCCATGGGACAACTCTCAGTGAGTGTCAGGAGTTAGTGGATGTGCATTCTATTTTTTAATCCCTCAATTGGACATTTCTAGAAGTTACACCATATATATATATATATATATATATATATATATATATATATATATATATAACACACACACACACACACTACTACTCTCTCTCTCTTA